CCTATACGAACCGTTCCTATTGGCACTAATATTCTAGATCATTTGCAGGTCAACTATAGTTAAATAAACCCTGTTAACTGTGTGGGGAAGTGTGTAGTTAGTGGACGACACTTTCGGATAGAAAAGAAGACGTAGCACAAATACAAATATTGCCAATACAGCCGTCCCGTACCCGTGTGGTGTGTGGGGGTCACGGGTGCAGGCTCTATCTGATTGATCCTAGACTTTTATACGTTGTATGTATTAACAAGATGACAGTTTTCCGTGTGTTTGTATATCTGTGAGTGAAGCAGTGCAGCGTCTCCTGTGCGGTGCGTGCAGTTCCCGCCGGGCACAATGTCGCGCGACCAAAACTCTGCGGCGGACGAACAAAGGATGAAGTGTAACGATCGCGGACTAACTCGCTGCATCACTACCTACATGTATCGTGTGCACGATGGTGGCGGTACATGTCAGAGACGTGCTAGCTGTTTTAGTGAGCTTGTACTGTTTGACGGTTGTGTTATTGTATGTATTAAACACTGTCCGGTGAGCGATGCACTGTCCCTGTGTAGCTGCGTCACATGCCTAGTCTACGAGTACGACACGCCAGTGGCGGAAATTTTCTCACATTGGTAAATCGTTCACTTTTTCAAGTTATAACACTAACAGTCGACTGTAAACTGAACAAAGAGGTAAAAAATGCGTTGAGTGACCTTAATTGCAGCTGAGCGTGAGCGGAGGGTTCTTTGTGGCCGGCCGCCGCCCGCCGCCCGCCGCCCGCCGGCGGACCACGCGGGAACTTTTTAAAACTTCCAAGTTAAATGAGAATTCTTGATAGCAGCTGCACAATAATAGCACAGCAATCATTGTATGTACATATGTATGTATGTATGTGCGTATGTCTATGTTTGCGTCAAAACAATGTATGGAACGATGTATCTGCGGAAATCAACATGACTCGGTGAAAACTCAACTACAGTAATATTTACACACAATTTGATGATATGTAGGAATGTATAATAAATTTTAAATTAGCTAGTTTTAAAGTTTAAATAATAGAATCACCAAAGTTCCCTTTGAGGTTTCCCCACGCCGCGTACGGGTTGCCATCCATTGCAGCTTGTACTTGTCTGCAGCAGCGGTCGTACAACGTACAACAATATTTTGTTCCAACGCGTAACCATTTCATATCTATGAGGGAACTCGCGGAGCTCACAAAATACTTTCTATTATAAGGCGTACTATGTTTGTGCAGCGAGGAGGATATTATCTCTGTATTATCTGGAGGATGCAAGTAATTTCCTCGCGAGAATATTTCCTCCGTTACCCTCGTGCGGCGGAAATTGGTGCCGAAAAGATGAAACCATTGTTTTAGATGTTTACGCAAGTACAATACTAGAGCGTACAGGTCGACATCGTCACTGCACTGTTACATAGTAATAGTATGTCACATCACATAGGATTGATTGACACACTTGAAATGGAATTGAACCTTGCGTCCAGCAGTCGAACATTAAACTAAACTATAGACGCAATTGCTTATGGTTTCATCTTCATTCTGCCTTGTGTTGGATACTTGGCGTTGCGGCACTACACGTCTACTTTTTCCATTCATCCCAGTACTTGTATACCTGCACCGGTTCTCGACTTGAGATGACGTGTAACCATTGTGTTGTCAATGAAAGAACTAACAGTGTCACCAGTGGTGGTGGTACACTACTAGTTAACGATGCGTCAGCCTGCAGAGACCTAGTGCTAAGCTCCTCAGCAGTGTCGTGCCTGCTTCGTATGCAGAGTGAGTGCGAGTGTGACATATTGAGTGGCGGCACTTAATGCGGGGCTCACTCCGCGGGACACGTTATGTATGGCCCACGTCGCCCTCACACCGCCGGCGACACTACTCACTCCGCCCGGCGGCACTTGCGGTGGCTTCAGCACTTCGAGAGATATTCTAACTACTGACACATAATATTATGTACGTACGTATACACGGACATATTATTATTAACTTGTGTTAATTAATGTTCAATGGTAACTTTTATTTTCCGTTCCAACAGTTTTTTGATAGAAATAAAAGAATTAACCAAATAGCAAGCACACTGTGCTCCAAACTTGAGATAAGCTCAGTGACCACAAACAGAGGAACTATGCGATACAATGTGGCACTATTAGAGCGGTGCGCGACGCTCTCAGTAACAAATCGGTAAGTTTTAATAATAGCCGCAGTCCATGAGCGTGACTTGGCTTCTTACAAAGAGCGGACTATTTAAACGCTTACAAATGAGCCCGAGGGCCCGGTGGCCCGGGGACCCGGGGACCCCGGGACCCGGGGGCCCGCGCCACTCATTTACATCACCGCGCCGCGCCCACTGCCAGCGCGGTATCTCGCACCTATACTATACACTTCGTCTCGCCGGAATTCTATGTTTCATTATGTCCACAACGTTGTGAATGTACAATATTGTACGTAGAACATCAATGATTGCTTTCTTGTAGTCTGGTACCAGCAGTCCAGCATGTATCACAAATGAAATATGAAGATACTAGTACTTATTAGGAATACAGAAAGAGACAGCAGTGATGCAGGTAAAGCAATTAGCGATCACAACAAGGTTAGTACTGTCTGTGAAACTATTAAGTCGGGCGGAGAGGGCGCGGTAAGTGGAACGAACTGCGAGAGGGCGCGCCATAAATATCTGCCGGCAGCGATAAGTCACCGTGTTTGTGTTCGCGCCCGCACTGCCCGCGCCCGCCACGCGCCGGGAGAAGGATCACTCGGCACAACTCGCTACAGCTGACGGGCGCTCTGTATGCGGCACTGGCATCATTCTGGAGGCAGCTTCGCTGTACACGAGCCACAGAGCGGCCACAGAGCGGCCACAGAGCGGCCTCGCTGCTTGCAAGTTCCTGAGAGATTACCGCTATTGAGGTTACAAATTGTAGCGAACAGAAGTAACCCCTTATACAAAGCAATATCGCTAACTACGTTCATGTCGACGGACGGTCACAAATTATTAAATGATTTTCTACTTATAAGATATTGTCTGTTGTCGAAAGCGGAAGTATCACAGTAGTATGATACAGTGGGAAACATTTGGATAAACCAATTTAATACCGAGACATAATACATTCAAATATAATATTTTAAATCGACCATTTACCACTGAGGTATGCTTTGTGGTTTTTGCCAATATGTGTCCCCCAAACGAGCGTCGTCATCGTATCTTTCTTGTTTCCAGACAATGGTCAAGTTATCGAGCACAGCTGCTGCGGTCTTGATGGCGCGCTCTAATGTCTTCGACAAAAACTTGCCTTTTTGTCATCGCCTCGTAGATCTCATCAGGAAAGGGACAAACTGTATACATGTATACTAGCTTACCACAGGACGGGATGTGAATGTAGTGTGTAGCGACTGTCGTCGTACAAATGACTATCAAGTATCAACTGACGTGTTGCTCGGGCTCACAATGTTTGCAAAACAAAATGAAACGTTTAATAAGTTACTGTCAATATAATGACAGTATCAGTAGTTCCCTCGCCAAGCCTTTTTTAATTTCTGTTGAGGTTTGGTGACATTATTAACACGTCGATACACTACGCGCCTCGGAGAGTATGCATAGCCCTCGACAAGTGATGCTCTCGTATCGCGCAGGTCATTAAAGCGCTGTCGCTCAGCTGAAACCGGCAAAGCTCACACAGAGCCACACTAGGAGGGCGCCACGTGTGGAATGTGGAGCGGACCCTCTGGGCGCGCGTGGCGCGTGGCGCGCGTCGGTCTCTCCGATAATAAAGGCGGCTTATACGTTCTTACAGTGCCTCGAGTATTTGTAAACATTTTGTGTCACGAGCTTCAATATTTCCAGCGAGTAACAGTACTTATATCGAAAGAAAACACGGGATACAGCCATTTTGTTGAGAAAACATTTTACAGAGATAACAAGTGGGCTCTGTACGTTAGCTCCTGTTGTTTATCGAGCAACAGCTGGCTGAAGTGACTGCTGTGTCCAATTCCCACGCGGAACATGACAACTCTTTATAATTTTATTGTAATCCTTAAATTGTTGTTCTGGGTCTGATTTTATACGTATATTCGTATTATAATAGGTATATATAATCCTAGTGTAGGAACTTTTTACTCCTAGGGTAGGTACTTTTTCAACAAATACTTCTTGGCGCTAAATGAACACTCTATTATTTGTACCTAGGGTAACCTAATGATACTACTTGTAGTCCCGGACCGTGTCACCAATTATAGGCACTTGCAGGCCCATGTGACAGGGAGTAATCCCATTGCCATACACTAGGTACAACTCTCCGTGCAAAACTGACTAAAATGCGAATAATCGAAAATGGCCCAAATTCTTAGCTTGATCCGGGAATCGAATCGAAGGACAGGGTTTATGTTGGTGTTATAAACGTAACTTATAAAACAATTACAATATGTTTATATTACATTTCATGCCCTGTCCACACTTTAGCTGTTGTCCAAAAAGTAATTAAATTTTAGCTGTTGTCCTAATTATTTAGTAAGACTATTAAACAAGCTCATTATTTATCTACGTATATATTAATTAATCGTCATACGAGCCTCACTTGAACACATAACTTGCTCGAAATGTCGATAGTTAGCGCCACTTATCATATTAATTTCCAGCTATAAATGGAGCGGACAGCAGGCAGCGCTCGCCTCGCATGCGCCACTTATAGCTGCCGTCAAGGACCGTCATGTTTATAGCGCAAGCATATAACGAAGCCGATACTTGATCGAGAAATATGAAAACGTACGATAAAAGCCTACTTTCTCATATGGAGTACAATTTAAGCGGATCAGTGTCGTGAGCGTACTATAACGGTAATACGGCATTGTGCCGAATGTATTGTTCGAGCGAGCGGCGCGCGGATCCGATGCGAGTTCGGCAGTAATCCGGCGCCAGTGTGCGCCCGACCGATAAATGGCGCGCGCCCGCGCCACTCGCCACGCCTCTATATGTACACTGGACCATCTGCACACTATGTTACTACACCCAGACACTGCCACCGTAATCGTTACACGAAGTAATTACAACTCCCGGTAAATCTAAAGAAATTCGAAAATGTATATAGAAAAATGATGGCCACTGCGCAGAGAGGAAGCAGCACGGCATTGTCACCTCGTGAAATAGTTTTAAAATTATTAAGTGTAGGTATAGCGTCGCGACTCGCGCGTGATTTATGACGCTGAGAGACGCGCGGCCGCCGCCATTAATAACCGCGCGGTGCCACGATACACAGGTGGGGCAGACACTACACAACACGTACTTGTCGGCTCCTATACTGCAAACTATAACAAATACAATGTTACCATCATCGTGCAGCATACTATGCAATGTCTTAGTAATAATGCAGAAATCTTGATCATAAATTATACTTTGGTATTGATATTTAGTTAATAGTCATTATTAATTCAATATCAATGCTCCACGGACTTGGTCATGCCTTATTGATATTCAGTCATGTTTAGGTGAAACTCCTTAGATAGTACAATAATTTAATTTATGTGACAGATTGAATTACATAATATTCTGTAAAAATGTTTCATACATCAAAATTACCTTTTAATATCATGTTTTTATATTCAAGCCATGATAGATTTATTTTACCAATTAACAGAAAAAGTTGGGTAGGAATAATATAATTATACAACTGTTACGTAACAGCACGCAGACAATGGATATGTGTGTACTATACATACGATTGTATATGGAACATGGTCGGTGCGTTATGGGTGCTACGTCAATTGTCCACCGACATCGCTTAATATTACATGAAAAACGAACGTTAGCCTTCGAAGGTCGGCCTCGGTGGACGCAGATAATAATACTAGCAATATTAGATTACAGAAACGAATACGCCGGGAAAAGGAATGCCAAGTATGTTATATACACAAATATCCGCGAAACGCAATAAGACGGGAGACAGGACCGCGGGACGCGCCGCGCGGCGTACATACCTCGCAGCGCTCGACAATCAGCAGGCTGTGGTTAGTGCGGGCGTCCAGCGACAGCTCCGACCTGACCGGGCGCCGGTGATGATGCCCGGGACGTCGCAAATGCAGGGTTACAGGACTCACAGGTCATGTCGATGTAATTAAATATTATATTAATTATAATACAAATAATTTGTAATAATCCATTTATTGAAAGGAATGAAACTTATTTATACCTACGCCTAAATTTTCATAATTAATTAATTATTATTCGTATTTATTGTGATACTACAGCAATTGCTAACAGTTTAGTGTACACGGGTACCTACGTAGGTGCTACGAAACACCTAACACAGTTTTGTTCCGGTCTCCCGGTGTTTATACATGTGCAGCTCATAGTGTGAAGTTGATAGATCTTTATCCCAATTATAGTCTTTGAAGGTAGAAGAAAATGTAGTTCGGTCTAATAAGGCGTGTCGAATGCATTCCTACGAGATTCGCCAGACCGGCAATGCGCTTGTCCTGGCAATCAATATTTTTTGTTAATTTGAGGTGATTGTCACAAAAGTTTGTCGTTGTATTTTTCTTCTTTAAACATAAGTTTCCACTGTTTTCTAATAATAATTATATCAAAACAATTTACATTATTTGTATTTATGAGTCGGCACCCAAAGAGCGCCTCACTCAATCGCTTTCAGAGCAATTAAATACTCGTGTGGCATACGAAACCGCTATTCACTATAGAACAAAGGCAGAGTCAACAGTCACGAGCCGCGACCGCCGCTCGCTGCCGCTAATTAAATATGAACAAGTAACATCCAAAAATTGTCGCCGACCTTTCATACACCCCTCTCCCCTCCCCCCAGTTCGCAGGACACCCCGTGTCACCCCGGACAGGTGGTAATTGGGTTAAGCGTCGCGACTGCAACGGTAAACGCTATTTTGCTTCGTATTGATGTCTCGATAATCTTCTGCACGCGTTCTCTAACACGTCGGTACTGTGTTACAGTTCATCGTGTATGTAGGTGTACTCGTCGTTGGTATTGGTACACTTGAACTAGCCGGAGAACGCCATTGTCAGTCATGAACTCGCAAGAATATTAAAGCTTAAAGCGTACCAGCAACAATTTGTGGATCTACATCGAAATGCACTTAGGTTGGTTGAAACTTATGAACAGTTTGTATCAGTGCAGCAGTGATCGAGTGCGGGCTCACTGCTGGAACATTACGGACCGCCTGGTACCATGTTGTATTGAAAGGAAGTGATATCACAGTTTGCTGCTGTTGGCAAGAGTTCGATTCTCTCTTCTAACCCAACTAACTACGGGCGGGCCATTCATCAAGTGTGGACGCACCGTAAGAGTAACACGACTGTTATTGTCTAGTAATTGCAAGAGTCTCATTTATAGGACTAGACAGTAAATCATTGGTATGGTTTGGTAATTCACGGAGTGGCCTAAGTGGTCCTTCTGGGTCGCGTGTGCAGTGGCCGGCGGCGGCGCGCGGCGCTCTCCGGATACGTTTTCAATTAACTAGTAGCGCGGCCCGCTCCGTTTAATATCGCGTAGCGGACTTTAATCACAGAAGAATCAGGCAATAATACTTAGCCGGGGCTCGAGGGACGACGCTGATTGAAATACCGACTGACTGCTTGCTACCGGCTTTCTATCGGTGCATCGCGGAACAAAGAAACACTCTGTCTTCATATCTACGATCAATTTGTATAAGAATTAATTCAATAGAGTTGTCGTCTCCGTACGACATAACATTTAAAACGATCTATTTATTCTAAAACCTCAAATAATATATGCTTGCATGCTTAAATACTTGTCGCATTATATTACAGCGGCCACAGCTCTGAGCTCAGACTCACTAACTTTGATATGTTTAACCTTGCATTACCATGGTGATGTACAAAATACGATTTGATTACTTTGACTTTGTACCTGCCTAATCTCACACCAAGCTTTTACATCAGAACACCATTCACACATACACATTTTACGTTCATACATACATTACAAGTAAAATAAAATGATGTAATAATGTTACAGTACAACTCCAAAGTTCACGAGAATTGGTACAACTGGTACACCAGCGTCCACAGCTCCGTGTGTCTGGTCCCAGTGCACCTATATGTACATACAAGCAGACAGCTACATGGGTGTCGCCGCGCTGTATCCGAGTCTCTGGCGCTAACGTGAGGGACAAAATCCATTTAATTTCTTTCAGTTCTCGAAGGAGGTAGGTATTCTGTTGTCCGGTGGCCCCAGTGCACTATCTGTGGAGGACTGACTCCACAAAACTAATTCTCCCGCACTATCGTATAACGTTTACCTTTCCGCACAAACAAATAAAACCGTCCTCTTTACAATATGAGTACAGCGGGGCGTGTTTACCCGCGACGAGCACGACGCATATTGCGGCTTATATTGAGAGCGCGTACCACACGTACCCCTACACGGCCCACATACAATACGCCGCGTGACTACTGCTCGCCAGTACTGAAGATTGAACGAAAACTTGTTTAAAAGCAAAATAATGTTATTTAAAAGACAGTATCATATATCCAGCCTCAGCTCTGACTCTGAGGTATAATAAGTTACAATAAAATTAATTGCAAAACTTGATAAATCTGATATATGACTTCACCAGGACGTATCGGAAATAAGCTCGCGGTGCAGCCGAGCGGCGACACTGAGCGGTGGCAGCGCGGGGGGAGGGGGGGGGGTGGTAGATACATGTGTATCTACAAAACATAAAGATATTATTTTGGAAAAAGTTTAAAGAAATAGCGCGACCCAGGTCAAGGTACAACACAAAAGTTTAATCCAGTACATATCGTATATGTGTATAACTGGTGTCGCTACCGTCTGGCGACACGTCCGATCTTCTATCGTCCAGTAGAACAGTTCCCGCCCCCCCCCCCTGCCCTACATGGCCGCCTGCGACCTGTCGACCTCCTCGAGGGACACACTCCAGACAAATTCCACAAATTATACTCTCAACAAACTCATATCCGGCCAATTACTTACCTATGATACTACACCCTCGGAAATTATTCCGCAGGTCTTTGTTACGTAGTACAAGAGTGCCGAGATTTTTATTTCAAATATTGGTAAGAGCAGTGGTGTGCTTTGGCGACTTGAAAATTTACAGTGTTCTTGGGGTAGTATAAGCTGCACTATTTATAAACATTGAACAGTGTTCTTCATTATATCTATCTAGTACAACACGGTATTGCGGGTTCGATTCCCGCACGGAGCAATTCTTTGTGTGATCCACAAATTGTTGTTACGGGTCTGGGTGTTATGTGTATGTTTATAAACCCTGGCGGGGGGGGGGCAACGCCTTTAAAAAAATCCATTAAACAAGCAATTCTTGTATAGCTACATAAATACGATCTCAGAAACGGCTCCATCGGTTTTCTTGAAATTCTGTATTTAGGTTGTAGGTAGGTAGGTATTGTAGGTTTCGATAAATCGATCTAGCTAGGTTTGATTTTCAGAAATCGTTGTTTTGTCCGTGTTTTCATTGAATAACAACCTCCTGTAATGATGTAAGCGAGCAAAGTTCGGTCATCCCGGTACTCATCCGAATGTAACACGGTTTCACTGTAATATTTCTTACTTATGTTTAACTTAATAGTTCATTAACAAATAATAAAAGTTTGTTTTAAAAAAACGTTTTTTATTCCTTAGGTTTTTTAATAGAGATTAACTCGATGGGTTTCCTTTACCTTCCAGCCCCATCCACAGACCCTGGCTACATATAGTATCGAAGTACTCATTAAGACGAATCAAATTAGCCGAAATTCGATGGAGTTGCGTACTTTAATTAAGGAGTTCCTATGGCGACCTTCCAGTTCCATCATCAGATCAGCTCAATTTTCATTTTTATCTGTCAGGGCCAGGATTTGCCGATCTCTTTTCGGAAACCTTAAAAACACACCAATAATATTTTGCTCGACCCAGGATTCAACTCGAAACCCCTTGCTTGGCAGTTGTAGTTGCGATTGCTTGACCAACGATGTAGTTAATAGGACTTTTCAGAAAAAAAAACAAATTGATTGGATAGACAATTGAATGTTACCTACACATTGAACTTTGAGCAGTGTAGTTAGTTAGTGTGATATTCCGTGCCACCAGCTCGTACAGCGCGACGATGTACAAGCAGTGCAGCCACTGGCACTGTGTACAGCAGTCAGCAGTGGCTGGCCGCGGCGGGCGGCGCGCGTCTGTGCCCCGTTACAAAGGAATACCTGCCGGCCGGCGCCCGCTGCCGCCTGCTATTAAATAGAGCGTATTTTTCCGCCACAATATTGCACACATTTCTCTTTTGTGGTAGCCCACCGAGCTCTTCTACTGGAAACATCCCAAACTTTGAATAAAA